TTTCGGTTGTATTCAATAATGAACTTTTGATGAGGTCAAGACACGGGTTTATCAACCTGAAAAAATGAAAACCTTTACAGAATTTCTTGTTACTTGTGATTATCTCAGTTATATACAATTATAGGCTTTTGATAAAGTCAGTGAATGGTTTTATGAACCTCAGAAAACATACGGAGTTATATATTTAACTAACCCTAAGCCACAAAGATTTTCACATTTCCAAATATTTACACATTTGGAAAATCACGCATTTGGCTAAAAAGAATATGATATTTACCTGTCTGCAGATTTTGACGGTGAACATTAATATTACATGTTTGTCACCAGGATGCAGAAATTGATGAGCTGTGACGACAAAGGTATCAGATTGTGTGCTTTCATTTACATCCATCATGAGAAAAAAATACTTCCAAAAACTTCTGAAATGAACTCTTTTGCTTATGAACATGAAAGATACACAACTTCACATCTGCATTGTCAACTTACCAGGTTTCTACATGGTGACAGGATCATGTATGATATAGGTATTTTGTAAAACCTAAACAGCACAGAGTGCTGAACAGCTCGCACTGATGTCCAGCAATAGAGTGAGCAGATTGAGAAGGACAGATAGGAAGCCAGAGGAGAAGTGACATAATAGATATGGGGATGCAATAAGCATGCAACGCAAGTGCAGGTGCTAAAGTGCTGAGTTGTGTTCAGGTTCACTTCTGTGACCAGTACCTCACCCCTACCTTTATGGTACACTCCCTTTGTCTCATGCTTTTGTTTTTGTCAGCCTTTTTATTGGCTTTATTAGCTGCAGCATGGTATGTATACTCAAGTTTCTTTCAAGTTTGTGTGACATAGGAGTTGTGACCTATCATTGCTGTCTGTAACAATACCTAGAAAAGCATCTACAGCCAGTCGAGGGTGCCATCCAAACATCTGAAAGGGGGGAGAGTAGCCTGTAGAGTCACTTTATTTGGCACTGAATCATGGACGGAAATATTCAACTTCAAATCTACCTTTTTATTCCTTAACAAGTGTTGCCAGTACGTCAAGGAGAGTCTGATTGAACCACTCTGCAGAACCACTCTGCAGAACCACTCCCCATTGGGTTGTATGGTGTAGTTCTAGTTACTCCTGCAAGCTTACAAAGTTCCTATACCGCTTTTACGACCCTTGTCACTATGAAGCTTTTTTGGGAACCTATAATGAAGTATCCATACAGAGCTCTAGATGTAGTATTGGCAGACTGATTACCTCACTGTACTGCTTGTGCATATCATGTGAAACAGTCAACCATTACTAGTATGTTTTCGGACAACTCATTCTTTGATGTATCTTCCTTGGGAAAAGGTCACTACTGAATAATGTTTTCAGTGTAGTTAGAGCAAGATCTTCTCTTTGCTCTGATGCCCAATCAATCCTATTGACCTCCGTACCAGAGAAGCAGTTTCATTAGACACCGAAGCAATCAACCCTAACTGACAGAAAGATTGCCTTTACTGCATGGGGTGTAGAAATTGATGACAAAAGTATCAGTTATTTACATCCAACATAAGAAAAAAACCTACAAGGACAGGACAAACACATATACTTTCAATAACTTCTGAAATAAACTCATACAGTAACGAGCCCAAAAGATACACAACCTCCCTTCTGTATTGTCAAAACATACCAGGTTTCTACATGGTGACAGGATCACGTATGATATAGGTATTTTGCAAACCCTTAAGTGCAAATAGTGCTGACAGCTTGCACTGACCTTCAACAAAAGAAAGAGTATATTGAGAGGGATAGACAGGAAGCCAGAGAGGAAGTGACATAAATAGGTGTGGCGACCCAATAAGCATGCAATGCGAGTGCAGTTGCTAAAGTGCTGAGTTGAGTTCAGGATGACATCCATGTTACCTGGTTTGGCTACATACCATACATTCAACCAGGCATGTACACACAGTCACGTAAACAACATGTCACACATATACCGTAACATCACATATATGTACAGAATACATATAAGCAAACAGGTATATTTTATATATAATACAAAGAAAAGAAATCCAACGTCCGGTCTGGTAGATTCTGTAATATCGGCAGTCTACCTAGGATAGATTCCTAGTGGAATACAGGAGTCTGGTTCAAAGATGTGTAAACAGCAAATATAGAGGACCAGACAACATTAATTCTTCCAACAGATGTTGTCATGTCCTCTATACTAGCCAAATATATCTATATTAAAAGGATAAAGAAACGCAGGGTGAGCTTGAAACCAGAAATTAAGTATGATATCGGGCTTCATTTAAAATGAAATTTTGTATACTTACAGACAAATTAAAGCTTAAAAATTTCCAAAGTCTGTATTTTGTATCTGACCATTGTTTAGAGGTACTAACGATTAAATTGAATGAACCCATAGGATTTTGAAATTGAAATTGAACTGAGTCATCAATATCTTGTGTGTTCGCCGTTTGCTGTGGTCACGGCGCTTATTCTTCTGGTCATAGAGTTCATGAGAGCGTTAATCTGTCTTATGGGGATGTTGTCCCACTCTTCAATCAGGGCTCTGGTCAACTGCTCTCGAGTAGCAGGAGGTGGCTGGCGCTTTCCAACCTGTCTATCCAACTGGTCCCAAAGATGCTCGATCTGGGACAAATCAGGGCTATATGGCGGCCAATCTAGTGGTTGAATGTTGTTGTTGGCCAGAAAGACTTGGCAAATCCTTGCTACGTGGGGCCTAGCATTATCCTGCTGGAGGGTTAGATTATGCTGCTGTAAGAAAGGGATAACATGGGGTCGGAGGATCTCATCTCTATACTTAGCTGCTGTTAAATTGCCATCAATAACAACCAATTGTGATTTTAACCCATGTGAGATTCCTCCCCACACCATTACTGAACCACCCCCAAACCTATCCCTCTCTACAACACGAGCGTCCGTAAAATGTTTGCCACAACGTCGGTAGACACGTTGACGGCCGTCAGATCAATAAAGTCAGAATCGAGACTCGTCTGTGAAGAAAACTTGTCTCCACTGCCTCAGTGGAAACTGTAGTGGAGCATGTGCAGCGACCCAGGCCATACGAAGCTGACGTCGAGCAGGGGTAAGGTGTGGACCTACGTAGGGGCGACGTTCTCTTACACCAACTTCCCGTAATCGATTCCTTACAGTTTTTGAACTTATAGGACGCCCTTGATTTCCACAAACATTAAGTGCACTCTCAACGGCAGTAAGGCGCCGATTACGCACATGAGAGACGACGATATAGCGATCCTGATCTCGTGACGTTACACGCGGACGTCCTGACCTAGGTTGATCGGCCAATCGCCCAGTTTCCCGAAGACGTCTTACAAGACGTTCTATGGTGGAAACAAATAACACCAAAGTGCCTAGCAACCTGATTTTGCAGATGTCCTTGCATCAGCATCTGAATGGCCTGACCCCTCTGAACTTCTGTGAGTCGTGCCATTCTTAAAACGAATCAAATTCTCAATTAATTTTAGGGAAGCAGTTGGTCTGTATAAAGACTAACGAAGAGTGACTTGAACAATGCTGCATGAGGCCAGAACAACACGGTGCACGAGATTCTTGTTTTTTCCTTCCTCCATTTACCAGAGCTGCGCACTGTACCGTGACTAAATTTTCTATACATGACAAGGTGTAATATGACCTAATTACTCAATCCACAAAGTTTCACTTTATTTGGAGAATGCGTTTTCAAAATATCAGAATAAATATTACTCTGTGTTTCTTTATCCTTTCAGTAAATATCACATAGAGACACTATGGGAACACCTGGGTTAATTACATGTGTAGGATCTGAAAACTTCATGTTAAATTTCATAGTCAGTGAAGCTTTTATGACGTTTTTTTCTTATGTAAATGAAATATATAATCGTGCTCCCCAGCTATGTCAGCTACGTGACAAATACTTTATGTAACATTATCTACAAGCCACATCTACCTGAAAACTGTTAAAATAACCAACTTTTAACACATGAACCACTCAATCACCACAATAATAAAATGATGGCAGATGTCACTCATAAGAAGAGCTCACAGTAGGTGAAGAAATACAGAAATATATTGAAATGATCAACTGTACTTCACAGACCCATAATTTAGGAACAGTGATATTTTTTGCAAAAAACTGAGCTGTAAATCTATGACATGAAAGCTTTATAAAAATTCAGGTAGCATTTAAGAACCAAGGTATGACTGTGCCAAGTCTTTCATTGCAGTATGTACTTTTAAATAGCCATCAACATAACTTGATCTACAGAAGGACATTGATAAGCAAACAGTATCTACAGTGGCTGATAGAAATGAAAAGATGATGTATACCTATATGGGCACTAAAACAGATCACCACCAACACCTTCTAACAACTAACCACTACCAACGTTTCGTAGGATGGGACTTAAAATGGTGGCCAGTGTGAGAATGTCCACTTCGCAGGATAAAGATACCTATGTGTTGTTTTAGAAAAAGAGCAGATGTGATAACACCGACCCAGAGGTTAGGGTTGGATTAGGAATTGGGATCACTTCATAAGTAATTTTGATGGCCTTCCAAAATACTATCAACATATCGAAATTTACTTATTGCAGAATTCCCTTCCTCTTCCTCTCTGTCCTAAACCAGTCCTCTTGTTGTGACGTGCTTAGTATAAGGCTAGGTCTACAATTAGGATTGGGGGTTGTCTTCTAAATAATAGTTTAATAATAGTTCAAGTAGCACAGACGGGCCCTTTCTACCTCATCTGTGTTTCCCACTCTCTCCCATCAATTCCTTTTCTCCCTTCTACTCATTGTCCTATCTTTCCTCGTCCGCTGAAAGGCCGAATTGCCGTAGTAGTGGACGTAAAAGCAGTTAACTAAGTAAATCAATAAACATCACTTCACACATGTTCTCTTAGGGCCTCACACTTCAGTGTTGAACAGCACCAACATTCACAGGGCAGTATTTATTACCACCGACAGATTTAGGAGGAGTTTTATAATAAAAATACTACAAACCTCTCATTGACTTGTATTGTTTCATGACACTAGACATGTTCTCTTCAATGCCATTCTCAGACGTCTTAAATTTCCCGTCCATTTCTGAAAGGCTCACACCGATAATGTTCTTTGCACCTGTATGGCTTTCACACGCTGACGACAATTTTGGTGTACTAAAAGCGATAGAGATGAAATATATGCTGACGACATTAGCGGGCGTATAAATAAAAACGCCACAGTCGTTAAATAACAACAGCAAGCGACAAGAAGCGAGAAAACGCATTGTACGTTTTGTTCAATATCCTGCAACCAAATATTACATTATAAATATTCATTATGAAATATATAGTCATTTCAATATTTTATTTTCTCGCAGCTCATCCTTGGAAAATAGAATCAATAAAGAAACACATTCCCCTTCAATTCAGTATTGACATAGATGGGAACAGGTTTTGTAAGCAGCTAAAGTTGACGCATCTGTCATGTCTTTATTTTCAAATTCTGGGGGTGTATCAAGTCCGAAATTCTGACAGCATCATCAGAGCATTTACATATTTAAAGTTAGCGAAGTGAGAAATGTTTGGGAAAACAAGTCATGTTTACATGTACATATTTGATATGTGACATGATGAATGATGACGAAGGAGGGGAGCTTTGACTCGTGCCCTATCCGGGTATTGAACTCACGATATAGGCACAAAATCGCCTAGTCTAGAAATTCGACAACTTCGACAGCCTAACCAACCACACCACCTCGATATTCCCACTATATGGATGTAGGGAAATGGCAGTGACATATAGCTGGAAAAGGTCGTGGTGCCAAATTGTTTATCATGGGACATGAATGGTTCGCAATATATATACATGGATACGAATTGCACATAGGACATACATGTATATCAAAGACGGGGACAATTTCAATCGACAGGAAATACATATCTTTTTTTTTTTTATATTTCTGTTTTTGTTAGTTTGATAAGTGATTAAATCAAGTAGAGAATTATATTATTATTGTTCCATCCATTTCCCGGCATAAATATCCCTACAATGATCCTTGTGTATATGGAGGTGACTGATTGGTGTATGTGATTTACTTTATGCACCAATTCGAAGCGCTAATGCCAGATGTACACATATCTTTAAAGTTTCAACATCTTTCCGGAAGTATATGTAAGTTGATGTACAGTTACTTATTTTATAAAAAAATATTTAAGAGCAAACCAGAGACGTATATATGTCTCTGATAAAACTGATACCGGAAATTAAAAAATAATATATTTAATTTTAAGTCATAGTAGTAAATGATATCAATCTAAAAAAGAAAAAAAAAAGAAAAATAGAAATAAAGGGAAAAATAATATTAAGAACTTATAAAATGCCAACCCAAAATCATTAATGTAATAATATATATGTTTGGTGTCTGATCACAATACCAAAAGAGGAAATCCGCCATATATTTAGGCTCAGGTGTTTCTTTCATTATTTTCACACCTGGAACTAACTTCAGAAAATCTGAAATAAGAGAACAATTAGGCTTGCCCTTATTTTGAAAGTTAGGGGCGTATAATATAGATATATTATACGTCCCTGTAATATATAGCATTATATATATATATAATAATATATAGATATATTATACGTCATTATATATAGATATATTATACGTCCCTGTAATATTATATATATATATATATATATATATAATAATATATAGATATATTATACGTCATTATATATAGATATATTATACGTCCCTGTAATATATAGTATTATATATATATATAATAATATATAGATATATTATACGTCATTATATATAGATATATTATACGTCCCTGTAATATATAGTATTATATATATATAATAATATATAGATATATTATACGTCATTATATATAGATATATATACGTCCCTGTAATATATAGTATTATATATATATATAATAATATATAGATATATTATACGTCATTATATATAGATATATTATACGTCCCTGTAATATATAGTATTATATATATATATAATAATATATAGATATATTATACGTCATTATATATAGATATATTATACGTCCCTGTAATATATAGTATTATATATATATATATATATATAATAATATATAGATTCTACACCATGTACAATCTACACCATGTACTATCTACACCATGTAGCATAATCTGCACCATGTATAATCTTGACCATGTACAATCTACACCATGTACAATCTACACCATGTACAATCTACACCATGTACAATCTACACCATGTATAATCTACACCATGTACAATCTACACCATGTATAATCTACACCATGTATAATCTACACCATGTACAATCTACACCATGTAGTAAAATCTACACCATGTAGTATAATCTACACCATGTACAATCTACACCATGTACAATCTACACCATGTAGTATAATCTACACCATGTAGTATAATCTACACCATGTATAATCTACACCATGTATAATCTACACCATGTACAATCTACACCATGTAGTATAATCTACACCATGTAGTATAATCTACACCATGTATACTATAATCTACACCATGTATAATCTACACCATGTACAATCTACACCATGTACAATCTACACCATGTACAATCTACACCATGTACAATCTACACCATGTATAATCTACACCATGTACAATCTACACCATGTACAATCTACACCATGTACAATCTACACCATGCACAATCTACACCATGTATAATCTACATCATGTATAATCTACACCATGTAGTATAATCTACACCATGTATAATCTACACCATGTACAATCTACACCATGTATAATCTACACCATGTACAATCTACACCATGTACAATCTACGCCAAGTATAATCTACACCATGTACAATCTACACCATGTATAATCTACACCATGTATAATCTACACCATGTACAATCTACACCATGTATAATCTACACCATGTACAATCTACACCATGTACAATCTACACCATGTAATCTACACCATGTACACCATGTATAATCTACACCATGTATAATCTACACCATGTGTATAATCTACACCATGTATAATCTAGTATAATCTACACCATGTACATGTATAATCTACACCATGTATAATATAATCTACACCATGTATGTACAATCTACACCATGTACATAATCTACACCATGTATAATCTACACCATGTACAATAATCTACAATCCATGTATAATCTGTATAATCTACACCATGTATAATCTACACCATGTAGTATAATCTACACCATGTAGTATAATCTACACCATGTATACTATACACCATGTATAATCTACACCATGTACAATCTACACCAAGTATAATCTACACCACGTGCAAACTACACCATGTATAATCTATACCATGTATAATCTACACCATGTACAATCTACACCATGTATAATCTACACCATGTACAATCTACACCATGTATAATATACACCATGTACAATCTACACCATGTATAATCTACACCATGTAGTATAATCTACACCATGTACAATCTACACCATGTATAATCTACACCATGTACAATCTACACCATGTAATCTACACCATGTATAATCTACACCATGTACAATCTACACCATGTATAATCTACACCATGTACAATCTACACCATGTACAATCTACACCATGTACAATCTACACCATGTAGTATAATCTACACCATGTAGTATAATCTACACCATGTAGTATAATCTACACCATGTACAATCTACACCATGTATAATCTACACCATGTATAATATACACCATGTACAATCTACACCAGGTATAATCTACACCATGTAGTATAATCTACACCATGTACAATCTACACCATGTAGTATAATCTACACCATGTAGTATAATCTACACCATGTATAATCTACACCATGTAGTATAATCCACACCATGTACAATCTACACCATGTACAATCTACACCATGTACAATCTACATCATGTTTAATCTACACAATGTACAATCTACACCATGTATAATCTACACCATGTAGTACAATCTACACCATGTATAATCTACACCATGTAGTATAATCTACACCATGTATAATCTACACCATGTATAATCTACACCATGTACAATCTACACCATGTATAATCTACACCATGTAGTATAATCTACACCATGTATAATCTACACCATGTACAATCTACACCATGTATAATCTACACCATGTATAATCTACACCATGTATAATCTACACCATGTATAATCTACACCATGTATAATCTACACCATGTACAATCTACACCATGTATAATCTACATCATGTAGTATAATCTACACCATGTACAATCTACACCATGTACAATCTGTAGTATAATCTACACCATGTGTAATCTACACCATGTATAATCTACACCATGTATAATCTACACCATGTAAAATCTACACCAAGTATAATCTACACCATGTAGTACAATCTGCACCATGTATAATCTACACCATGTACAATCTACACCATGTATAATCTACACCATGTACAATCTACACCATGTACAATCTACACCATGTAGTATAATCTACACCATGTACAATATGCACCATGTATAATCTACACTATGTACAATCTACACCATGTGCAATCTACACCATGTACAATCTACACCATGTAGTATAATCTACACCATGTATAATCTACACCATGTACAATCTACACCATGTATAATCTACACCATGTACAATCTACACCATGTACAATCTACACCATGTAGTATAATCTACACCATGTACAATCTACACCATGTACAATCTACACCATGTACAACCTACACCATGTATAATCTACACCATGTACAATCTACACCATGTACAATCTACGCCAAGTATAATCTACACCATGTATAATCTACACCATGTATAATCTACACCATGTACAATCTACACCATGTATAATCTACACCATGTATAATCTACACCATGTACAATCTACACCATGTACAATCTACACCATGTAGTATAATCTACACCATGTAGTATAATCCACACCATGTACAATCTACACCATGTACAATCTACACCTTGTACAATCTACATCATGTTTAATCTACACCATGTACAATCTACACCATGCAGTATAATCTACA